ATAGTTGAATGTTTTAATCTTATTTATTACAAATAATACATATTAAGTGCTTGTTTCTTCTTTACAAATATTGTGTGCATTATTTAAGATTTTTTTCTTAACTTTTATTAATTTATACTCCACCCCTTCTAATTTATGATTGTATACTTATCATAACATAAATTATATTTATAAAAAAAGATATTACATAATTATTTTTATAATTAAAATAAGGGAAATTTATACAAAAATACAGTTAGAGGAAGCACTTTCACCCGCCTAACCTAGGAATACAGTTTTCATCTGATAGCCCACAAACATTTCTGAAAATAAGTCAAACTCTGCCCACCGTTTACTCATTGTGATTCCTTTTTATTTTTACCATCCGTTTCACGCCTAAATCAGATTCCACATTTTTATCTTTTCCTTTTCTCCTTTTTCTTTCTTATTTGTTTTCTTTTACTTTCCTCTTTACATATTTTTAAAAAATTAAAACTTGATAAATGAATTGTAAAATTCCTCCAACGCGTACAAGATCTTTTTCATACAGCACATACACAAAAAAGGAAGAAGAGAAGAAAGTATCAAACTTTCATAGAGGCCTTTTATACGGTGACAATATATATACATCCTTATAAACTGAAAAAATATATAGTTATACAATATTATACACAAATAAACATATTTATACACAATTATACATATTATACGATACTATATAAGTGGATATAAATACCACTTATACAATATTTTCAAGAGAAAACATATTATGTCCAACACTACACTAACTGTAAATAATGTATCAACTTGCATAAACATGTATAATAGTGTATAAGAGGTGTTTGTACATCCATGTACACAATTATACACTATTATACAGTGTTGATACAAACTGATACATAGTATAATTTTTTATCCAAATTTCGAGTTGTAGTAGAAGGTATTGGATGATTCAACTCGTCAATAGGTTAACAACTTTGCGCCAACGATTTCGAATTCAACACCCATACAAGATACACCCAGTTTCAGATCTGAGACTTCAAGGGCATAACAGTAATGATCTGAATTTCAAACTTCAAAATCTTCCAAAATTAGTGATTAAATTTTGGTGCAAATCAAGTTTGAGAGCTATTTATTTTCAGATCTGTGTGTATTTTTATTTTTCTTTCAAAATCTTCAATTTTTTTTCGCTTTCCACCATCAGACTTGACGGGCTTGGATGACGGAGGAGGAGCCTGAGCCTTCTTCGAGCCATTGATGGCAGAACTGCGTAGGGGGAGGGAGAATAGCAGGGGCTAGGTTAAGAGAGGGGATCTATGTGGGTTAGACAGAAAGAAGGGAGAGGCAATGGGGAGAGAATTTAGTGTGGTGCGAATGAAGAAAGAAGAAAATAATAAAAACCCTAGATGTATGTCTTTAATAATGGGCTAAAGGGTGAGAAGTTTCTTTCGAGTTATGTATATCATGGGCTAGACCGGGTAATAACTTCAAAGCTAGGCTATTTTTTGTTGGGATGTTAGGCCAAGTGACAAGGACCGTAATTCTTCCTTAAAATAAAATGATAAATAGGTAGAATCTGTAGAATCTAAAATTTTGAAGAAAATAATGTTTTTAGTAGTGTAAATTGTAATAAGGTCATTTAAGTCATTTTAACATAAAGAGAGCTTATCAGCACTTTTTAATCAAACAGTTTCAGCTGCTTATTATTAATTTCAGCACTTTTATCTAAACACATAACTACTTATTTTTTTTAAATCAGCTTCAGCACTTAAAATTATTTTTCAGCACCTAATGCTTATCAGCTACTCTAAATCAGCTAAGCCAAACAGGCTCTATATGAAGAGTTTTGTTTTAAAAAGAAGCATTTTAGGGATAGAATAGTAAATATTTTGGTCAAACCGAAAGTGCTTATAAGCTGAAATTTGATAAGTTGGGGGAGACCAACTTATGACTTTTGGTTTATTTTTGGCTTATAAGCACTTTTAATTTTACCAAACGCGTAGATAAGCCAAAAAGTGCTTATAAGCCAGTTTGACTAGCTTATAAGCTTAGCCAAACACCCTCTAAATTATATTTTTATTAAGCCGTTTCATAACTATAACCATTTCATACATTAATTTTTCTAATATTTACTCATTTAGGATACTAAAATTTTGTTTATTGAATATGTATTTATTTGAACCATGTCAAAAGTTTTAATATTTATAACTTTAAATTCAAATCAAATTAAATGTTAAATGTCTTATTTAAATCATTTCCTTAAGCAAATGTTGAATTTATTTTGATAGAAATTATTATTTTCTAATAATATATTCCTCTTGTATATAAGTATATTTATAAGAATCTAAATTTTATTGGATTTAAATCCACAAAATTATTTGGACTATATTTTTAAATTCAAGATATATTAGTTCAAATAAATTTATTGGGGTAATTGGATTAGTTATATAAGTTCAATATATATGGATTAAATAAATAAGTCCAAATCCATTGGGTTAGCCCATTTAATTGGGCTATAAGTGATGAGCTCACTTCATTAGGCCCAAGATATCATCTTCCTAGTGGCCCAGTGCCACGTGTCAATTGACGTGGCATGCCAAATCAAATAGAAGAGATAATAGGATCATGCCATGTGTCAAAATGACAAGGCATGCCAAGTCAAATTAAAAAGATAATTAAATCGCGTCACATGTGCAAGTGACATGTTCTGGCCAATCAAATGCGGCTCTGTCACGCTTCAATCTGATTGGCCAGAAAGGGTTTGTTCTCATCACAACTCTTCTCTCCCGCAACTATAAATAGGGGTCTTCATAACTCAGAAATGGGACCAGAAGTTATAACAAGACACAAGGGAGCTCGTGGATCAAAGGCCACAATTCTCTGCAAACTGCAAGTGTTCAAGCATTCAAGCACTTCAACACAAATTTCAAGTATTCAAGATCAAGAACGAAATCAAATCAAATATAAAGTGTTCAAGATCAATGCTACTTGTTCGTGATAAAATTCGTGACAACAATCAAATTGTTCATGACGAATAAATTAAATTCAAATTCAAGATCAAGCTCAAAGGCCCCTTTATTTATATTGAAAAAGTAGAATCAGAGGAACCATAAAGATTGTAACACTCGAATATTTGCAATAAAATACTACGATTGTTGCAATATTTTTCGGTTTTGATTTTATTTTCTTGAAGCAATTTTTTGTCTACAATATTCATTAGTTGATGTAGTACACACATGCACAAACATACAATAAAACTAGTTATATATTAATGATATATATTACAGTCAGACTTCTGTATAACATTATCCCTATATAACAGTCATTCACTATAAAAGTTAAGTTTTTTTCGGAATTGATTTTTATATTATCTTATAATATATCTAATTTATAACAATACTTTACTATAACATACAAAAATATCGCAACAAACAAGGTTGTTATAGAGAGAATTGACTGTATAATCTGTCGGCTATTCTTTTGGGCGGACGATTTAGGGTTATTTTGGAACTTCCAAAAATTTCTGTGATGCCGTTGCACTAGGCTAAATGGACTACCAACTACAAAACATTTGGGCTTTTTCAAAGTCAAAGCCCACTGTAACTCATTCCATACACAGGCCCACAATCGATAACGGCCTAACTCGTAGACGAACTGAGCGCGCCACCTCTGAGTTACAACAAACAAAAACTCCACAAAAATTACAGTTGAGAAGTACACAGCTTAGCTAATTTTCCGCTAATCTTTGAAGTTTGTTCAACTCAGTATCCTCTGTGAGTTTCTTTAGAGAACTAGAAAGGTCCAAATATTCTAGCTAAATTCTTCTCTTCTGTTCTTGATATTCGTTCTTTATTCAATTCATTGCATTTTATTCTATTAGAAAATGTATACGCTGTAGTATAGACTGTTATGGAAAAACCCTTCAAATTTGGTAGCTATATAGTTGGGATAACTTTTCCTCTGTATGATTATTTGGGTAGTCAAGCTTTAGTTTTTGATTCATGGGTTTTGGGTTATTACCAAAAAAATCTTCTTTCAACCTGATATTTAAGGCTTTAATGAATTGGGTTTTTTTGAAAGGCAGATTTTTTATATAAAAGAAAGAAACTTATGCAGAAAGTATATTGGTGCTTCTTCAGTAGTATTGGTGGAAGATTCTGATTCTTGTTCAAATGGTGAAAATGAAAGCAGTATGGAAAATGAAGCAGTAGTTGTTCCACTAAGAAGAATGTATAGTTGTAGAGGGCGAAAGTTGTCTTCAGTCGTTACAAGAATATGCAAGTCTTTGAGTTGGGAAGTTGCAAAAGAGATTCCTTTTAGAAAAACTATGAGGAAATATGGCTTTTCTCGTTCGGTAAATGCCTTTAATATGATTATACATATTTCGCGTTCGCAAGGTTGCATATGGAAGTCCACGCCTTGCTTAAAGACATTGTTTTCTCCTTTCAGAAGGCTGGTTTTGGCTTGTATAAGATATTCCATCTTTCTACTCTGCACACACCATATAGTGCAACAACTTCGGTTTTCGTGGCTGATGTACTTATCAAGGTGTTTGCTGCGAATAAAATGCTTGATTGTGCAATTGATGTTGTTAAACAGGCAAGGAAATTTGGGCATCAACCAAGTATTTATTCATGTAACTTTCTACTGAAATGCTTGGCAGAAGCAAGTATGAAGGAGCATCTTCTAAATCTGTTTGAAAAAATGAAAAGCTTTGGGCCATTGCCTAATGTAAGGACCTACACAATCCCGATTAACTTTTACTGCAAAATCTATCAAGGGATAGAAGAAGCCGAAAAGATTCTTGAAGAAATGCAGAAAAGACAGATTAGTCCTTCTGCTGTTACATATGGTACATACATTGATGGACTTTGTAGAGTTGGAGAGGCTGATTTTGCTCTGGACTTCATTCGGGATCTGAGAGATAACAACAAGCCACTGAATTTTACTGCTACAATGCTATTATTTGCAGATTTTGTGCTACAGCTGAAGTAAATAAAGCTTTAAGCATTTTTGACGAAATGAAGAGTTTTGGAATTATACCAGATAGCCATAGCTATAGCTTTCTGATTGATGGATTCTGCAAAAGCCAGAACGTCGAGAAAGCTAATAACATAAAGCCTACCGTAGTCACTTATAGCTCACTTCTTAATGGATTCTGCAAAATTGGAGCGATGGAAATAGCTATTAAAACGTTTTATGAGCTTGAGAATTCTGGATATAAATATGATCAGACTGCTTACAGTATCTTAATAAATGGATTTTGTGCTCAAGGAAATCTCACTTCAGCTTATAAGCTACTGGTGGAGATGATCAACAATAATTTGGCTCCGGGTGATTCACATTATAAGCGATTAATTCGTGGTTTCTGCCAGATGGACTGCTCTAATAAAATGGAGTATTTAAGTATGATGGTACAAGAAGGTAACTTGCCTGATACCATTACCTGCAATTTCATTGTCAATTGGTACTGTACTGAAGGGAGTGTGATAGAAGCTTTGCAACTGATTGATAGAATGGTGAACCAAGGCATCACATCAAATAAGTATTGCTATAATGCAGTCATTAACAGGCTGTGCAAAGATGGAAAACCAGAGAAGGCTTTGGAAGTAATTCCAATAATGCTTAAGAGGAACGCATTGCATGTTGCAAGTTGTAATACTCTTATTGATGGTTTTGCTAAACAGTCCAATTTAAAAAAGTCTTATATATTGCATGAGAAAATGCAAAAACTTGGGATTAATCCTAACTTCATCACGTGGACAATTCTTGTGAACATATTATGCATGACAAGGACAAGTGGGAAAAGACAATGCATTAACTTCTTAGGGATATGATTATGATGGGATTGAATCCTGATACCATCTCTTACACCTCCATGATAGCTGGCTTTTGTAAAAATGGATATGTGAATGAGGCCTTCAAATTGTTCAAGAAAATGCCACATATGCCTTCTGTTGTTCCTTATAATTGCCTCACTGATGGATGTTGCAAGGTAAATAGAGTGGATAAGGCTTTAATGTTGTATCGGAGAATGCAAAAACTTGGGGTTACTCCAGACATCGTCACGTGCACAATTCTTATTAAAGGATTATGCAAGAGGAGCAAAGTGGAAAAAGCCTATAAACTTTTCAGGGAAATGAGACTGGATCCTGATAAGGTCGCTTACACCTCCATGATAGATGGCTTATGTAAAATGAGATATGTGAGTGAGGCTTTTGAATTGTTCGTGGAAATGCCAGCGAAGATGCCTTCTGTTATTACATATACTTGCCTGATTGATGGATTTTGTTGTTAGACCATGCGCAGCGGAAGCAAGCATAAAAACCATGCATCAAATACATGTAAACTAGACAACGCAATAATAACGAGATTAGAAGCACTAACCTCTTGAAGTAGTTGCACAAACCTTCCAAACAGCAAGAATCCAGGGCTGCAGTTTTCTGCTATTTGCCTAGTAAAACCTTGGACGATTTTGCTATTGAGTGGGCAAGAACAATACAACTGAAAGGTAAGTTATTAGGTGAAACTAGTCTTCCTATAATAGACCCGAAATTAAGCCACAATAGGGGCTCAAAAACATGTAGGATTCTGCAAGTAGAATCCTACTCTAACTCAAAAGAATAACTTTTCTCTCAAGCTACTTTTTACCCAAGTTTGTCCAGGTTTTTACTAGGTATAGCAGGGACCACAGAAATAATAAGTGGCTACTAATTATAGTATTAATTCAAAATTAGCATGAATTAATTCTTACTATAATTAATTGCAATTTATTCCACTAAAAACTGCAATTGAACTCCTCAATATGAATTTCGAAAATTCATTAACACTTATTTTAACTCCCCATGTTAAGATTTCAAATACCAGTTAGTTAAATTAAATCACTGAAAATTTAATTCAATTAACTAATTAAATCCTTTATAATTCCACTTAAACTATTCATGTGACGGATACAAAATCCACTGGCTGGGTTTTCACATGAAAACTTATAAGCTTACATAAAGGGGTATCATCAAACCCAAAACCAAGTCATGGATTCTATCAACTAATTATTATTTACAAATGTTATTCGTTATTGTCCAATCTATTAGGCATATACTAACTCTAAATAGAGTCATACCTTTTGATAAATCAAAACAATAAACAAATTACATTGATCATAATAATTATATCAAGATTAGGAGTATAAGCTCATTTAATGAATTAGAGAAAATGTTTTATATATTCAGTACAAAAACATCTTTTCTCTACTTGGTCCGTTCAATATACACTGAGTATACTAGCACAAGAAGTTGGAGTATAATCTTGTGCTACAATCATCAAGATATTTTGTCCAACAATATTTTTGATTGTGAACATAGTTTATTAACTATGAGAACCAACAATTTAATCTTATGTGCATGAGCTAAGACTCCATACACTAAATTGTCTATTACATAACTAAAATGACACACATGTAACAAATGATCTATTTAAAATAGTACTTTATTGTATTGAATAAATTAAATAAACAATTGTTCCATAAAGAATAAAATATAATACTATGTCTAAACCGCATGGTTAATAGTATATCCCAACATTTGCAAGGAAGGTCGAATGGACAAGGCCAAAATGTTGCTCGATGAAATGCGAAGACAGAATGTCTCTCCTGATGTCAAAACTTATAACATAATGATTTATGGATACAAAAGACGTGGACAATTAGAACTAGCTTATGATATGTTTTGGGAGATGATAGACGAAGGTATCTTGCCCGATGATGTTATCTTCAAAACCCTTAGGGCTGAAACAGATACCATGATGCCAAAATAAGACGGAATTTGCTAAGCTCACTCCATAACATGAGGTGGCTTTTGCATGATATCGGTGAAAGTTTTACCTGGTTCACTCATCTCATCAGTTTTTCTTTGGAAGTGCTAACTGGTAGGCACTCCTCACCAACTCACTATTATGTTTTGCATTTTGCATTTCTGTATATTTATCTCCTAATTGTTAAATATAGATTTGCTTTGCTGACCGAGGAAAGGATNGTAGTTTGTTAAAACGAAGTGCTTTTGGTTATCGTGAATGTTTGCTAGATTATTCTCATGTAGAAAACATAAGATATCTCCCATTTTCTTTATCAGTTCAAACTACACCTTGAAAGTTTCAGTCAGCTATCAAGAACTGTAGGCTGCTAGGATATATCTTAAATAACCTTGTTAAATTTCTTCTGTTGTTTCATGGATTTCTTAATACTATAGGGAGAGTTGATGATCTGCTTTCTCATTGAATTCCAACTCCAAGTTGGTTGCAGACATAAAACCTGGTGCGAGAGCTTTAATGCTGTAAGTTGCTGAAAAAGTTAGAAGGTCATTAGGAATCCCAGATGGGGAAGAGCTGGGTCCAAGCTTTGCTAAGCTGAGTTTGGCTTTGGAAGCCCAATCAGCTGTCCGATTGGATATGGTAAATTCTTGAATGAGTAATTTGCTGTATAAAATTAGTCTGCTATATATAGGTATTGCCCTGAAATATTTGGTCATTGGCTCTCGAAAGTTATAAATGTGTAAGCAAAGAGAGGTTATTTTTCATTCCAAAAAACACCGGTTAAGGATATTAACTAACTTGATTTCAATTTACATTTCCGAATAAAAAGTAAAGAGAAGATAATTTACTGTGAGTATATTGGTTTATCTTGCTGAGATGCATAATTCGGAGCTACGTGTGTTACTTCGATGAACTCATTAGCACATTTATTTTTTGGGGTTTAGATAGCCATATATTCCTGGGTATGGCTATAAGTTGGAAGTTCTGAGCATTATTAATATTATTTTTTTCGATAAGGGAGATTTCTGGATTATTAGATCTTTCTATTTTGAAAAAATAACGCGTCTCTGTGTTATATTTTATAACTTTAAAAACATAAGAAAGAGAAAACTAAAGAAAACCAGCATGTTCTAGTTATAAAATTTGGAAAACCTTTACAAAACAAGACCTATTTGAAACTTAAACCTCTATAGCTTATGTCTTATAAATGAGCAGAAAAACTCTTTCTGATTGCTTCATCGCCCCACTTGTAGCTTTAAATTGAATGCCTGTACGCCATAGTAGTTGTTGCTTTTAGTCCAGCTAGTCTTTTTCATAAATTGAATTAATGTGTTAGGAAACAAGAACTTGTATTTTTTAATTTATTCAGTCATTTACGAAGTCTTTCTATTAGCATCAAGGGAGTGGTGAACTTAGATAAAGCTATAGAATTATACTCTATATTTGAGCCATCTTTATGATCCTCATCAGTAGTTAACATTTGTGCAGACAGCAGGTATGGCGGAGTGTTATCCAACATATAGACTCAGTTTGTAAGCAATTCTTTTTCCCAGACAGTGGCAATATTAGACTCAGTTTGTAAGCAATTCTTTTTCCCAGACAGTGGCAATATTAGACTCAGTTTTCAGTTCCTTGGTCATGATGTAATAGTTGCTGCATTCGCAAGCAATTCTTTTTCCTGTACACTTTCCACAATTTTTGACTTTGTTTAAGCCTGTTTAGTGTTTAATTCTAAGTATGCACTTGGCATATTTGTAGCGAAAGTTCAAATTAGCTTGGATCATCTCTGCAACCCGAAGCTTGATATTGAAACTTGAAAGTTGAGACCTATCTATTTCTCAAGATCTGTAAGTTAATGAAAGTGGTGAGGAATGTTTGAAGTTGTCAAATATCCCACATCGGTGGTCGACACTTTTGTTTGGGATTTTTTCCCTATAAAAGGAGGCCTAATGTTTAGGATTTAAACACATCTTTCATTTGTCTTCTTATCTTCTTAAGACATTTGTATCTTCTCTCTTTAGTATTATTTCACTTGTATTTTTAGAGTGGAATAAAATATTGGTTGTGTCCGAGGAAGTAGGCAAAATTGGCCGAACCTTGTAAATTCTGGTGTTCTTTTATTGTTGTCTTATTGTCTTATTTATTATTTGGTGGCTGTCATAATTTTTGGTATAGTAGTTGTGACTCATTCACACTATATATATTTGGTTTCCGCAACAATTGGTATCAGAGCCAAGGTACTGTTTAAGTATCCTCTGTGGTTGCAGCATAGTCTGATCTTCCACATCAGAAAAGATTTATCTTTGTACTGTGTCAAGGTTCTGTCTTAGTATGCTCTGTGGTTGCAGCTTAGTCTGATCTTCCATACCAGAAAGAAAATAAACTTGATTTGTGTCGTCAGCTATTAAATAATATTCGTGTCAAAATGGGAGACAATAAACAAGAAGAATGTACATCAAGTGTCAATAATACGTCATCGTTGGCATCCTCGCTTATGACAAGAATTGTGTCAAATGCGAAATTTGCGGTAGAAATTTTTGACGGATCAGGACATTTTGGGATGTGGCAAGGTGAGGTTCTAGATGTCCTTTTTCAACAAAGGCTGGATCTTGCCATTGAAGAAAAGAAACCAGATGTTATTGGAGAAGANTTACATATGCATGCCACCTCATTAATCGTCTACCATCTGCTGCTATTGATGGAAAGACACCATTTGAAAAATGGTATGGAAAGCCTGCTGTAGATTGTGACTCTTTGCACGTGTTTGGCTCAACTGCATATTATCATGTGACAGAGTCAAAATCGGATCCAAGGGCAAAGAAGGCTATTTTTATGGGGTTTACTTCTGGAGTTAAAGGATATCGCTTATGGTGTCCTATGACAAAGAAACTAATATTCAGCAAGGATGTTACCTTTGATGAATCTGCTATGATAAATAAGGTAACAGAAGATATCAAACAAAATGATGGTGCTTCTAAGCAGGTGGAGTTTGAGGGAAAATTTGTTTTTCCTACACAAGAAGCAGAGGAGGAAACAAATGAAGA